CGCGCTGCCCCACACAGGGGCCAAGAGCCCCATGTGGATGTGCCCGTAAATCCATCAGCATTCAGCGACATCACAAGTCCAGGTCCTTGGCTGCACAGGCCGCGTTTCAAGGGCTCCTTAAGCACGCGTGGCTGGTGTCTCTTGTTGTGGGTGCAGATCTAGGACATCACTGCAGAAAGTGCTGCCTGACAGAGCTGCTCCAAGGGCTCTTTGCGGGGTGGGACAGGGAAAGGGCACAGAGTAGTTTGGGGGCTCTTCCCCAAGGTTCCAGCCTCCCCCCCACCTGGCCTTCTTGAGGGTCTGGGTGACTGGCCTTGGGGATGTGACCCACATTCTCCATTCTCACCACCACTGGCCCGGCAGGCCCATGGATGGTGGCATGTGTGCACCTCACTACACAAGGAGAGCCCTGCTCCCAACTGACAGATGCACGGATGGGGCGGAGCAGACCCTCCGAGAGCTGGGACCCAGGGCTGGCGATTTCTGGGTGGGCGTCTCATGCGGTGAGGGCCAGTCTCATGTTTAACGACAATAGGTCCTTTTTATATCACCTGGGCTCTTAAAACGCACCAACCGCTTCTACACTGGAGAGTGCATCCTCTGCCGCCCCCCGCGTGCTGGCCTCACGACGGACTTTGAACCTCGCCCCCCTGTGGTATGTTATCCTCATTTTACAGCAGGGGAAACTGAGTGTCAGGGAGGGTGGCAGTTGGCCCGAGGCAGGGTGGGGACTGAAACCTGAGTGTGACCACTCTGGGGCCCTCATTCCCGGTGCACTGTGCCTCAGTTTCCCCCACACAGAGTGATGGTCACAACCCTGCTTCACAGTTGGGATGACACGGACTAAGCACACCATGCATGTCCCCATGTCCTCGTCACCCAGAGACCTCCGTGGGGGAGCCCACCCCACCCATCACTCTCCAAGCCCTCCCACACACACCTGGGCAGCGGGCGCGGGGTCACTCTGGGCCCGCGGGGCCATCGCAGGCGGCCTCTGCAGGGGACAGATAACCCGCTGGCATGAGCTGAGCCGGCTCTGCTAAGAGCGCCTGACGGGGCACTGCAGGCAGCGTCCCTGGCCTCTGCTCGGGGTGGTGGCAGGAAGTGACAGGAAGAGAGACAGGCCCCTCACAAAGAGCACGTCCCCTGGCAGCGGAGATAAACCCTGGGGGAGGCGGGGGCGCTAAATCAGTTGTTGAGCCGATGTCGCACATGCTGACAGGGCAAATGTGGGGCCTTTCACGGCCACGTGCTCTCATTTGTCCTTATTCATGCAGCAGCCGGCGCTTTATCTCCCTTACATTATGTGAGGCCACCAGGCAGACACTTGCTCCAGCATGCAGGGGGCCCCTTGGAAAATATTAATATGTAAATGTCACTCTCCAAAGACCAGAAATGAAATGGAATGGCCGACTGGAAGATGCTCTGCTGGCAAGATAGAAAATAGTGAGGGAAGCAAGCTGCTCGGCTGGGAGGCACGAGGTGTGCAGGAGAGAGAGGGGGCCGGCCCGGAGCAGGGTCTGGGGGCACTGGGCCGGGGTCTCTCTCCAGGCACGTGGCTTCAGCAGAAAGCCAGGAGCCAGGGCGGGGAACTTCTGAGCTAGGGCCCCACATCCGGATGCCGGCACCTGGTTCCTAGACAAACAAGACAGAGGCTGACGTGTGCTATCACTGCCCTGAAGGATGTCCTGGAAGCATTTATGGTGTGAGCACGTTCAGCCACCGCCAGCCCCATGGGCCCATCTCCCAGCGAGAAAACCACGGCCCAAGGAGGTGAAGTTCAAGCCCACTCCCCCAGCCTTCTAGGAGTGAGCAGCTCAGGGGCCCTGAGAGGCTCGTGGGCAACGATCCGTCTGCAGGCAGGCAGCACAGATTCCGCTCTGAGGATGTGCAGCCTGAGTGCAGGCAGGGGGCACCCACGGGTGGCTGCCAGGGCACTGGCACTCTTGGCCTCCCTTTGCAGCTTTGCTGCCAGGCGCTGAGCATGTCCTTCCTCCAGCCCCTCTTTTCTGCAGCCAGCCTCTCGTTGACCCCTGCCTGTGCACCCAGTGGTGAGAAAGCCGGGCCATGAGTGGGGTCCTGGGGCCGGGTGGGGTACCCACTAGCCACAGAACCAGCGGGGCAGCAGGCTGACTCATGGTCTTGGTAGAAGAGATGGGAGAAAGTGAGCCCTCTGCCATATTTTTGGGGTGTGCTGGGGGCCCATGGGACACACCAAAGACAGAACTGCTGTAAGCTCCAAGGTGTGCTCACCCCACCTCACCGACCTCCACGCTCCAGCCCTGCACGGCCGGCCACAGGGCATCCAGGAAGAACGTGGGGATCTCCAGCCCATCCCCCACCCAGCCTGGGCCCCTGGGAAATGCAGGCCTGAGCTGGGAGCCTGGGGCCCTTCTTCCTGATGCCGCAGCCTCCTCTCGGGCTCCCATCCCGCCTGCCTGCTGCCAGATCTCATCAGCAGGCTCTAGGGTGACCCCAGCCCCCGAGCTAACAGGCACGGTTGTGTTTCTTCCTGGCAAGGCCAGTTCACTACTTAACCCTTCAAGCGGAGGCCCACAGCAGGCCTGCAGGAGGGGCCCAGGGAGGGAGCTTGGGCTGAGACCAGGCAGCCCCCAGTCTCTGGGCACCCCCCAGGCTGGAGTTAGGCCTCTGGGGACAGGACAGGGACAGAGCAGAGATGGAAACTATGACTTCAGAAAGCTGGAATGCTGCCTGAGAAGCACCAATGCTCCTTCATTACCAGGAAGCACCCTGCGAGCAAGAGGGTGGGCTCCTGGGCTCCCCCAGGGTGGAGCGTGTGCACACACATGCAGATGTGTGCAAGCTCATGTGCGTTCACATATACATGTGCACACAAGGCATACGCACACAAGCTTCTGCACTCACATGCATGTGCACAGTGCACATCCACCTACCCATACTCACACCTGTGCACTGATGTACGTGTGCACGTAGAAGCAAGCACATGCACACACACAGAGACATTCCCTGCCAGGCCTCTGACTCACCAGCCCCGACCTCTGCTCCAGGATCCCTGCAGGCACCAGGGGCAGACCTGGGCAGAGTAGATAGTGGGGGAGGAGCAGCTGCCTGGCAGGGCCTGGGTGCTCTAGAACCTCAGTGAGGCAGCAGGGTGGGCACTCACGGGCTAGCCTGTGGTCCGGACTCGAGAAATCTCCATCCCTTAATGGATTCTGGCAACTGGGCCTTCCCCAGAACAATGGGCTGCAGAGTCTGAGCGCAGCGGGTGCCTGCATGGAGCTGGGCACGTTGAACACAGTGTGTGAGAAGTGGGCTTGGCAGCCAGCCTTTTAGGGGCTGCGCCGAACTCAATGGGTCTGCTCCTCCCCTCCTCTCCCCCTGCCTGGCAGCCCGCCCCCCCTCCGCCAGGAGCTGCTGTGGCAATCAGGGCCAAGGCACCTGGGAGCGGGACTCACAGGGCACAAGGGAGCCGAGGGGGCTCTCCTGAAGGGGGAGTCGGGGCAGCAGTTTGGGCCTGTTTCCAGGGAAGGCCTGGGAGCTCCTGACTTGAGTGTGGCCTGGGTCCTGTCCTCCTTGGGGCCTGAACTGGAGGAGTGGGGAAGGGAAAGCCCAGGGAGGTGGGCCACGAGGAGACGGGAGAAGCAGGGAAGGGGGCCTCCAGGAGGATGTGTGGGATCCCGTCGGCCCCAACCTTGGCCCCCAAGGGCAAGACCCCCCCTTCAACCTCAGCTCTCCAGGCTCTCAGCAGCCCCTGTCACACCCTGAATCACCTGGGGAGCCCCCAGGGATTCCGACATGTAGTGGTGCTCAAAGTGGGCCCCTCACCTCTGGAAGCAGAAATGCAAGTTGTCAGGCCCTCTCCTAGACCTACGTTTTTTAGTGCCATCTGTCCAGGGCATCCTGATGCTTGGTGGAAGGGGACTGACCCCAACATGGGGTTGTGTGCCAGGCAGGAGAGCTGTGGGCGTCCCAGTGGGGAAGGGTCCTTCTGCTCTCTGGAGGAGGGGGCGCTAAAACCAGGGGCACTAGGTGCTCCCAAGTCCCTCTAGAAGTTGGGCAGAGGGAAGGGGGTGCCCAGTTAAGGGGTGGCACAGGGATGCCTGGGGTGGGTGAAGGCTGAGAAGCAGGAGAGAAGGAGGAGAGGAGAGGGGAGGTGGGGAGAGGGGGAGAGGTCAGGGAGCCTCCAGCAGTGGTGGGCGTAGCCTGGAATAGCCAGCGTGGGGTGTGGCCCTGATGACAGTGGCAGAAGCTAATGCATCCAGGCACCGGCTGCTACTTCAAGGCCTTTGCGAATACTTATCCCTACACTACACACAGGAGCAGACAGGGGCACAGAGAGGTTGAGAGAGTGGCCCAAGGTGATCCAGCTGCAAAGGGGTTGAGCTGGGAGGGAAATGAAGCCGGGCACAGGCTCCATGCATTAGACTGCCTTCTGTTCCTCCGGGGAGGAGGCAGCGACAGGTCCAAATGCGCCAGGAGTCAGAGCATGGCACTGCGTCCTGGCTGGGCCACGTAAGGAGCTGCCCCCAAATGGGCTGACAGACCACACAGCACACAGATGGGGAGAGAGAGCCCTGAGGAAGCAGATGGGGTGAGAGCTGCTTCAAAGGCTCCCGCAGGCCCCCAAGGGAACCCGAATGCCAGATGCCAGGGATCAGGGTCAGAAGGAAGGGATGCACTTTCTGAAGGCTAGTGACCTGCTGCCCAGCTGTCCCACAGCCCGAGCGGGTGAGAAGGTGGGACTGTGGTCCCTCTGTCCTTGACCCTCCTGCAGATCTGCAGTTAGATTAGCGTCCTGTCTCTGCCAACCTTACGCAGCTAACCACCCCCACTCTGCTGTTCCTGGGTGATGGGGTCGCTTTGATATGGGGCTGGACTCTAATGCGAGCAGTGTGGGGACCCTTAATTTATTACATGCCAGTAATTGATGTTTATATAAAGTAACTCTTACAGCTACTCAAAGTAGGAGATGAAAAGCAATCAATCAGCCATTTGCCTCAAAAGAGAGGGAGAAAACAGCACACATATCAAAAGCAACCTCCCGAAAAAAAAACACTGAGAAGGGGGCTACATTAGCACGTCTGCACTTTGAAGCTTGGGGTTCACAACTACACAGACAGGCGGCAACAGCCAGAACACGGGGGAAACCACCACCAGGCTGCCTGCGGCTCTGGGTCACTCCTGGGGGACACAGTGCTGGCCGCCGCCCTGGGGCCTGCAGCCTTCCCCCGGCAGCCCGGACCTGGCACCCGCTCTGTTCCCTCTGGGCCACAACTCCAAGGAATGTGGTTGGGGGCCTAGGCTGGGTTTTGAGGGGGCCCTGCTGAGCCCCAGGGTGACCCCAGGGCTGAGTGAGACACCCCTGTACCCCTGCCTCCTGGCTAAGGTTCAATGATCCCCATGGCAGGAGGTGAGCGCCAGACTGTGGACTCCGCTCTTCTGCAGCGTCTCCCCTTCCTCGCCTGCCCGCACGTCCCATGCACCCCCGAAACCCTCTCAATCCGGCAGCTTCCAGCACCACAGAGACCAGACTTGGAGCAGTCGGGGGAGGCTGGCCTTTTGGGAAGAGGGTGGCCTGCCCAGCCCTTCCTGCTGTTGGCCTTATCTATGCGTTATGCTAAGGAGCGCTGGACACCCCCTGCTTCCCTGTGGCTGCCACAGGAAACCACCCCAGACTCAAACAACACAAGTTCGTTCTCCCACAGTCTGGAGACCAGAGGCTGGAAACCAGCATCACTGGAGCTGGAATCCACGTGCGTGCAGGGCCACGCTCCCCACGGAGGCTCGGGGGTGGGGGTGGGGCTCCTTCTTGCTTCTTCCAGCTTTAGGTCAAGGCCACTGGTGCCCCTTGCCTGTCACTCTCACCTCTGCCTCGGTGGTCCCGCGGCCTCCTCCGTGCCTGTGTCCTGGAGCTCCCTCTGAGTCTTACAAGGACACCTGCAATGGCACTGAGGGCCCAGTAGGATCATCTCACCATCCTTAATCACATCTGCAAAAACCCCTTTCCCAAATCTGGTCACATCTATAGGTTTCAGGAATTAGGACACGGACATCTTCTGGAGGTCACTCTCCAACCTACACTCCCTATGAAGGGAAAGGCAAGCCAAGCTCCTGCTTCTTCGTGTCCAGCTCAGATGGCCGCGAAAACCAGGCACTTGGCAACTATTTCATCTGCCTACTCCTGAGTGCCAGGCACTGTTCTGGACACTGGAGATAGGGCAGGGAAGGAAGTGGAGAGCCACTGGTCTTCATATGTGGTTAAAGTGTGATCAATACGAAGGAAAAGAATAAATCCAGGAGAGGAACCACTGTTACGTTTTGGCAGGGAGATCAGGGTCCACCTGAATAAAGGCCTGAAGGAGCCAGAAGTATGAGCAGTGTGATCTCAGGAGAACATTCCAGGTGAGGGGGGCGGAGTGGGTGCAAAGGCCCTGTGGCTGCAGTGTGCCTGTACTCACAGAAGAGCAGGGATGCCGGCGTGGCTGGAGACAAGCAGGTGTGGGAAAGAGGAGGTGGGTGGAGCAGGAAGGAGTAGAAGGCATGGAGGGGGTTCCTGGGGGGCTCTGTGGTTCTGGTGGTGACTCTGACCTTTGCTCCCATGCAACGGAGCTGCGGGAGGGCTCCTGCCACAAGGCCAAGATCATGTGTGCCCACACGTGGTGTTCTGCCTCCTGAACCAAGGCTGGTTTGCCCCCTTCCCTGTCCATGTCTCTTCCAGCAGTGACCAGCGGCAGCAGCCCCCAGCACCTGCCACGTATCCAGTGCAGAAGCTGTGCTCACGCACGTGGCTGCAAGTGCCAAGCAAATCCACCAGTGACAGTGTGTGCCCCGGGCTGCTACCGTACGCGCACTGGGGCCCTGGTCCCAGCTGGGCGGGAGCTGTGGGCATGGCTGGGGTTGCAGCCTCCATTAAGAATTTATCAGCCCAGAGGGATGAAGTCTTTAGCTCTGGGTCTCCCACAGTGGTGTCCTTGGCAGTAGCAAAACTTTGCTCTGGGAATAGGATGGAAATTCAGCCCCAGGAGCATAATGAAAGTGGTCGGCTTCGGAGCACTTCCCTGTGAGCAGCAGCCCCTGCGCCCGCAAGTGGGGGCAGGCAGCTGCTGGAGGCATGGCTGGGCCCACCTGCTCGGCTCCGCCTGCCCTAATAAACCCTCTCTCTTTGGAGTCACATTTGATGCGGTTCCAACAGGGAGCCATACGTCACCAAATCCAGCAAAAATTTGTGCTAAATTGAATCAATCCATCTTGGAAATGGCTCTTGTCAGGTTCTGTCAGAGAGACTGTCTGCAGGGGACGAAGAGATCAGGATGCGGGGCTGGGAGCTCACATCTAAACACCTCGAAGCCTCCCTCAGCCTCTGCCGGGGAGGGAGGCACAGGCACGCCTGTGCCCCCAGGAGCCAGCCCCGCGCCGGGGGGAGGCAGGGGGCCCATGGGTCTGTTAGCCGGGCGTCCGGCCCCTGCAGCCTGCCTTAGATGCTGCCTTCTCGTTTCTCCTCCCAATAGGTTCTAGCTACCAGGTGCCCACTCAGCGCCAGGTAAGCCGAGGGCACAGGAGGGCCTGGGCCAAGCTGGCCAAACGGAACTCAGACCTGGGGCTGCAGGTCTCCGGGGTCTGGAGAGCGGCTAGCGAGTGGGGTCAAGGTGCCTCCTGGGGAGGGAGATGAAGATGGCCCCTTCCCAAGCAGCAGTTGTCCAGGAGGGCCTGGCAGCTGGTGATGGCCCAGAGGGACCCTTGGCCTCCTCCCTGGTGGCACGGGCCTCCCTGCCGTGAGCCATGATTCTGGGCAACAGACCCTACATCTGGAGCTCTGGCCTCCTGATATGAACAAGGCACGGTTCACCCAGCCAGCCACTGCTGGGCTGTCGAGTCCCAGGCAGCTCAGGAACTGGCCCAGAAGCGGGGCTCCCCACGGAGACCTCCCTGCCACCAGAATGCACGGAGTCCCCTCCTACAGTCCAGCTCTCAGAGCCATCATGGCACAGATCAGCCTCCAGGCTTCGTGGCTCTCCCCACCTGGGCGGGCTGAGCTCCCCGGCGCACTCGCAGCTGGCCTGGTCCTCACTGGGCCCCCTGCCCGTCTGTGCCTTTTCTTCTCTACTGGGCCATCCCAATCCCCCTTCCTTGGGTCCCGGCCGTCACTGTCTCCTGCAGCTCCAGTTCCAACCATCCTAACTACTGCGCTCCAGCCAGCAGGACTCGGTTATCAGCAGTGCAGCTGGTTGGCGCGCGTGCCTGCCTCACCCACACACTCTGAGCATCAGCTTCCTGAGGGTGCAGGCCTGACACGCACATGAGCCTTCCCAAGGGGCGCGCCACAAGGCAGGCATACAGATGCTTATGAACCCCTCCTCTGCGTGCCATGTTCAGGGGTGCCAGGATGCAGGAAAGACAGAGAGTGCTATTACGTGCCCGGGAATGTCACTCTGTGGGTGAAAGCAAACGAAGGCATCACCAGTGCTTGGGGCTCAGAAGCTGGAACGGTGGCTGACCAAGGGGCCTGAGGGTGCTCCCAGGGACTGGCCACGCTCTATTTTTTACCTGGGGGCTGGTTACCCAATGAGGTCGGCTTGGAAACACACAAGGTGTGCACTTTTATACCCTTTCCTGTTGACTATCATACTTCATGACAATTGAGAAGGAAAATGGCACGTGCCATGGGCTAACCTGGGGCCCCCTACAATTCCTATGTTGAACTCCTAACCCCTAGCACCTCAGAATGTGACTGTGCAATGGAGAGGGGGCCTTAAAAGATGTGATTCAGTTAAAAGGAGTTTATTAGGGTGGGGCCTGCTCCAGTGACTGGGGTCCTTTTGAGAAGAGGCGATCAGGACCCAGACACGCAGAGGACAGCCAGGGGGACAAGATGACCGTCGCATGCCAAGGAGAGACGCCTGAGGGGGGACCAGCCTGTCCACACTCAGGCCTGAGACTTGAGTGCCCAGGATGGTGAGACGGTAAACTTGCTGTGAAGCCACTGGGTCTGCGGTGCTTGGTTATGGCAGCCAAGCCAAGTGACAGCCCCCATTTGGTGAGCAGGGGACCCCTGTGCCTAGGAAGCCCAGCCATGCTCAGCTGCCCTCCCAGCCGCAGACAGCAACCTCTGAGGTGGCAAGTGGGGAGACAAATGGCCGGATTGGCTTCACGGGCGTCACCACATCCCCCAACTAAATTTCCAAACCGGATACCAAGTGAGGGGATGCTTAGGCCAGAGATCTACAGAGGGATTTATTAGCAGGCAGAGGAAGACAAAAGCAATCTCGCCTGACACAAATACAGATGAATATGTGTACAGGAAACCCACAGACTGGCGAATTAAAACAGGGGTCGGGCTGGTGGGCATCAAGGACTGCTGGCTGACGGATCTTCCCAGACAGCTGGGCCGACCAAACACGTCTCTGCCAATGCTTCCGAGAAACCACAGCCCCACGCAGGTACCCCGAGGAGAAGGAAGGGGAGCCCCGGGCTGGCGGGCAGCAGGGCTATGGGTGCCTAGTTTGGGGGCATGTGAACACAAACCTGGGCTGGGACTTGGGAAGAGAGGGGCATGGGCTGGGGAAATGTGGGCACAGGGGCGTGGGGCTTGAGCTCTTCTCTCCTCAGCATGAGCAGTCTGGCTCGCGACAGCAGGGACAGCCTGTCTGCGGGCCTCCCCAGCGAGTAGCAGGGGCTCCCTGAATAGCTGATGGATGGACGGACAGACGGACAGCTGGCTAGATGGCACACTGCCTCATACTCAGCACCATGCCAGGCACATACCTAATAAAAGGGAGCTGTTATTATTGGTATTACTGCACCAGTACCACCTCCCAGGCTCAAAATCACATTAATGTTATCGCCACCTAAAGGGAACCCTCCACCCCTCAGAATGGAGTTCCAAGCTCCCAACTCCACCCCTGCCTCCATCTCACTCCACACCAGCGACTCCGGAAGCCGCCCCGATGCCCAGTGAGTCCTCTCCTCTCCTTCCCAGCTCCCTTCTGTGCTTGCCTCGTCCCTCTTTCCTGGAATAGCCCTTCCTCCTTCCCCTGGTGGGACCCGTCACCACCGGCTGAGTACAGACCCAGGCCATCTGCAGAGCCCTCCCCTCCACGGCTGCACAGAAGGGCCAGCTTCCTCTCCTGTCCTCAGAGAGCTGCCCATCCAATAGGCAGCCCCATGCGGCTGTTTACATTAAAACACTCTAATGGAGTGTAAAGAAATATTCAGTTCCTGGGTTGCACGGGCCACATTTCAAGTGCTCAAGGGTCACAAGCAGTGACCACATTGGGCAGTGCAGAGGCCATTTCCCCCTTACTGCAGAAAGTCCAAGTGGCTGGGGGCTGCCACGCACATCCTGCATGAGGACCGCCAGGAACTGCTGGTGCCCCGTCTGATTCCTCGTGGAGCCCCTCACGGTGCCTGGCAGATGGGAGGCGCTGAAAACTTGCTCGCTGAACCGGAGACCTTTGGGGCTGTCCTGGACCCTGTTGGTGTTTGCCTTTTGTATCTGATTCTTGGGAGGCAGTTTCTGGAAGAATCTGGTGATGACGTGTTATGTGCGCCTGTGTGCCAGACCCTGACAGCAGGTGCCTCTCACACATCACCCCCTTGTTCAATCCCTGCAAGGGAGAGGCAACCGCCCGGTTTTATGGAGACGGGTGCTGAGTCCCAGGACCACGGAAGTGGCAGAGACCTTAGCATTATTGGTCCTGGGCCAAAGGCTCCGTTGTGTGGGTCATCTTTATAGGAGGTTGTATGGCAAGGACTGGGCCCCCAGGCAGGGTCCTGGGCACCCACCAGCCTCGGGTGCATTCACTGTGTATGGCACACACAGGAGTGTGGTGGCCTCAGGGCAGGGCAGACACAGGCAGGTCTTGGGGGTTGGGTTGGATGTGGCTTTGGGTCACCTAGGCTGCATGGCAGGCCCTGCAAGGTGACAGAAAGACCCAGTT